CAACAGCACTATAGCAAGCATCAGGTGTTCTCAAAGTTTTTACACATAACAAAGCAGCTCCCGTTCAAAACATCCTAATTTGGCAAAGTTACAAACGTCTGTGCTTCAGAAAAAAATCCTTTAAAATAGATTTGTACTCTCCTACTGATGATTGCTCTCTGATTGTGTGTACATTATTGCGCTTTTCACAACCTTTAAAAAGAGGCACAAAATGCAGCTCCACCTCCACCCTCCGATCAGTAAAGTTGCCAAAAACACAGCTCCAAAGTGAAATGAGCCCCCGGGTTGCCCCCTTGGGCCGTCCGCATCGTACTCACCATGGCGGGCTAGTTTTGAGGACTTTCTTCCCCTCCCCCTGCACCTACGCACAATGAGGGAGAATGGAGAGCAGTTTCAGCATTAAATTTGAACTTCCCTGCTTTTGTTAGTATGAGTCACCACCTTAACATTATCTCAACTGTAGACTTTTATCTGTGAATATCTAAGCCCTGTCTTGTGGAAAACTAATTACTGAGCCACTGAGAGGCTTCATAATGTCCTGCATTTAAGTCCTGAACATCATACATAATGCATAGGAAGCAGTCTCTGCACTCTGATTACAGAACACTGTCATTAAGAGAGCAAATTAAAGATGTGAATAATTCACTGGCTGAGCTTATTGTCAGTGCTGCATTGTGAAATTAGAATTTCTAATAAGTACTGCAATTTTTTTAACCCAATTAACACAGAGAACATCTTGAGTCTGATTAGTACAATAAAAATTATTACCTTATTCTTTTGCTTCACAACAGCCAAATTAAATACTGTACTTAATTATGCAGCATTCATCGCTTCTGTGCTAGAAATAATAATAATAAAAAAACCCTTCACTATCGCTTTAATAAGACTTCCAATATTTAGAGTGCAGCCGAAAAATAGAGCATATGAATCCCCAGCACAATTTCTTATCGCGAAGTTACTGGCTTTTTTTTTTTTTTTAAAGACTTTGAAAATCGGTTTTAATATTATCAGTCGACCATGATGTCACTGCTGAAGTCTTCTCTGGAAACAAAAACGCATTTGAAAAAAAAAACACAAAATGACCCTTCCGAACAAGCTCTGAATATATATTGTGAATTAACTTTCTCTGGGTTGATGTGAAGATAGAAAAAAAAAACATTACCACTTACTGACTTGAAAACGAATACACAAATATACAAACATAGAAATATATAAATACACACACACATACATATATATAGGTTGTTTCAGAAAACGCTTAGAAAATATACTATGAAAAAGCAGGAGCTAGATCAGCTCTCTTACCTCTGTTCCCTCTTGGCATGGGATAGATAACATCCTTTCATCCTAGAAAGGAGAAAAGTCCAATTCAACATCCAGCGTGTTGATTTTCCCCGACACGGCGCCTGCTGCCATGTTAAATAAAGAAAATGATCACTGAGGATGCAGCTTTTGTCTCCAAATATTTTAATACTGCCTTTTAGTGTCAAGGACCCCAGGAACCTTAGCACATCTGGCAGCAGACACCCCTGGCTGCAGCTGCTGCAATGGGATTTTTCCTCAACCCTATTTCATTTCCAGCTCCTTTTTCTTCCTCATCCTGGGGAAGTTTAATCACCGAGCATGGGTGGGGGAAAAAAAAAGGAAAAAAAAAAGGGTGGCATTGCAATCACGAGCTTTCTTGGTTTTGTCCTAGAGACAGGGACTGCAGCAACCACCTTGCATCTTTGTCTAGTTATTTTAGCATGTGCATGCAAGAGGGGAGGAAAAAAAATAGGCTGAAAATTATTCAGGCATAATGCAATACACATAAAGAGAGACAAAAAGAGAGAGGAAGAGAAAGAGAGGGGAAGAGAAAGAGGGAGAGAGAGGGAGGGAGAGAGGAAACAGAAAGACTAAGAGAGGGAGAGGGGGCTGTCAGTGCAGATAAATCTGCATATGGAAATCAGGGTTATCCTGGGTACAGTTTTATTTAACCATGATGCACTGTTTTTTTAATTAGACAGGAATTTAAAGAAGGAAATGAGGGATTCTTACAGGCACAGGAGCAAACGAAGCATTTTTAATCACAGGAGAGTTTTCACAGCAAGCTGTAGCAGCAACAGCAAAACTTTTTATAGCAACTTTCTTGTTAGGAACAAAAGTTTCATGCATTACTGCTAATTTACACCACCACCACCCCCCCAAAAAAAAAAAAAAAAAAAAGAAAAAAAGGTAAACCAGAAGAACATTTTGAAATTAAATCAAGCCAAAGCAATCCAAAATACTATTACAATAATTATTAAAAAGACCCAGAAGCTGCTTAGGCGCACAGTATGCATTTTAAGCTAAGTTATGCCGGGCAGAGGCTTTAGGGCTTTCTCCCTGGCCCCTCTTCAGTGGTGGCTGTCATACCCAGCAGAGGCGCTTCAGTAAATGAAAAGAGTGATAGCCAGCTTGAACGTCAAATGTATTAAACACCACTTCCCACGCCTGATGGGAACCGCTCGTGCCTCCAGAGGGGAGCCGTACCTGACAGACATGGGAAGGTTGGGTCAGGGTCTGTAAGGCATCACCAGAAACGACCAGGACCTCTTGCCCATGGCTGTGAGGGAGCAAGGGGATGAGTGGACGGAGGCGGCCGAGAAGGAAAATGCAGTTGGGGTACAGGCTGGAGGGGAAGGAACCCAAAGAAAGGCAGCGGACAGGTGAAGCGCGGGAGGGCTGGGAAGCAGCAGCCTGGTCTGGGGCGCTCACTAGCAGCGGCAAGATGGTGGCGCCCAGGTGAGAAGTGGCCAGGAACAACTTGTGGGGGCCGCCAGCCAAGGGGCGCGCTGAGGGGAGCTGCGAGAGCGCTACGGGCTGGGGGGC